CAATTATAACTTTCTTACTGGCTCCAGACAAGTAAAGTCAATGGGGGAAGCCAGAGTCACTTAACGTCCACATGATTCACTTAGGAACTACAGTGATTTGCTTGGCAACTGTGGCAAATGTTATAAAATGGGACAAAATTCACTTAACAACTGTCTTGCTTAGCAACAGAAATTTTGGGCTCAATTCTGGTTGTAAGTTGATGACTACAAAGGAAATCTGAGCAGGACACACTAGAGTCAAACAATTATTTCTCAATATCTGGACTCCGTGTTCCCATTAATTTACACCAACATCACATTTGCTTTTCTAATTGCTTTTCTTTTTGTAACTGCTGGGTCATGTTTATCGTATGGCCAACAAAGACACAGCTATCTTTTTCACATGTACTACTGGCAAGCTTAGTCTACCTAGTAATTGAACATTGCATTTTCCCACCCATATACAGTATAGACCTTTATATTTCTTTTTAAAATTCTGTGCTACTTGTTTTAGCCCAGTACTCAATCAAGCCTATCTAGGATGAGGGGATAGATGGGGAACTCATCAAATTTGCAGACAACACCAAGCTGGCAGGAATAGCCAACATTCCAGAAGACAGGCTTAGGATATAGGAGGACCTGGACAGACTTGAACACTGGGCGCTATCTAACAAAATGAAATTCAGTGGTGAAAAAAGTAAGGTTCTACATTTAGGCAAGAAAAACCAAATGCACAGGTATAGTTTAGGACAGTGGTGATGAATCTATGGCACGTGTGCCAGATGCGGTACTTGGAGCCCTGTCTGTGGGCACGCGTGCTGTTGCCCAAGCCTCACTTGCCCTCATGGCCCCCTCCTCACCATCAACCCCCCCCCCGAAGAGTTGCCCCTGGGTGCGGCCTGAGCAGGGTAGCAGAGCTAAGGACATGGCAGCCGGGCAGCAGGGACAAGACTCCACCCTCACACCCTGTCAGAGGGCATGGCTGCCATGGCGCTGAAGGGCCACCTGGGCAATCTGCTGCAGCAGGCCGTGGAGGTGGTGGGTGGCCCTGCTGGTGGAGGTGGGGTGTGCAGAGGGGCAGTTTTTGGGCACTCAATCTTTAAAAGGTTTGCCATCACTGGTTTAGGAGGTACTTTGCTCAATAGTAGAGGGATCTCGGAGTCCTAGTGGACAATCACTTAAATATGAGCCAGCAGTGTGTTGCAGCTACCAAAAAAGCCAACACAGTGCTAGGCTACAATAACAGAAGGATAGAATCAAGATCACATGAAATATTAATACCACTTTACAATGCCTTGGTAAGGCCATACTTGGAATACTGCATCCAGTTTTGGTCACCATGACGTAAAAAAGATGTTGAGACTCTAGAAAGAGTACAGAAAAGAGCAACAAAGATGATTAGGGGACTGGAGGCTAAAACATACAAGGAACGGTTGCTGGAATTGGGTATGTCTAGTTTAATGAAGAGAAGGACAAGGGCGGACATGATAGCAGTGTTCCAATATCTCAGGGGCTACCACAAAGAAGAGGGAGTCAAGCTATTTTCCAAAGCTCCTGAAGGCAGGACAAGAAGCAACGGGTGGAAACTAATCAAGGAGAGAAGCAACCTAGAACTAAGGAGAAACTTCCTGACAGTTAGAACAATTAACCAGTGGAACAACCTGCCTCCAGAAGCAGTGAATACTCCAACACTGGAAGTCTTTAAGAAAAGATTGGACAGCCATTTGTCTGAAATGGTATAGGATTTCCTGTCTGAGCAGGGGGTTGGACTAGATGACCTCCAAGATCCTTCCAACTTATTATTATTATTATTGATCATCACACAGTCAGCCAGATGTTCAGACTGGATTTGGCATTTTTGTCTGCCTACTGAGTCCTTGCCAAGGACCTGGGATAGGTTGATGTGGATGTTTGAAGGTATTACAGATATCGTCGCAGGATGGAAGCAGTTCCTAGTAAGGCCACCTTTTGCAATTGATTAATGGCGAATTTGTCAATGCCAATGGTGTTCAAGTGGTGCTCCAGTTGTTTTGGGATTGCACCCAAGGCGCCTATTACTATTGGTACTACCCTTGCTTGCCGTTGCCACGGTCCTTTTATTTCTATTTGTAGGTCTTTGTATTTTGTTATCTTCTCCAGTTCTTTCTCGTCTATTCTGTTGTCTCCAGGCACTGCCACGTCCACTATCCAGACTTTTTTGTCTTTCTTATCAACAATTGTTAAGTCCAGGGTGTTATGTTGCAGATGTTTGTCTGTTTGAATTCCCAGAGCAGTTTAATGTTATCATTTTCTATAACTTTCTCTATTGTATGCTCCCACCAGTTCTTGCTTACAGGCAAATGATATTTCTTGCAGATCTTCCAATGTATCATTGTTGCTACTTTGTCATGCCGCTTGTAGTCAGTCTGTGCGATCTTCTTGCAGGAGCTTACCAAGTGGTCCACTGTTTCTTCAGCTTCTTTGCATAGGCAGCACTTACTGTCTATTGCTATCTTTTCAATTTTAACTTTGTATGTATTTGTCCTTAAGGCTTGGTCTTGTGCAGCCAGAATTGGACCCTCGGTCTCTTTCTTCAATTTTCCTGCTCTTAGCCATTGTCAGGTCTTGTTATTATCTGCTTTCCCAGCTATTTTATTAATGTACTGGCCGTGTAGTGCTTTGTCTTCCCATGCCTCTATTCTGTTCTTCATTTGGTCTTTCTTGTAGGCCAGTTTGGTCTCTCCAGTAGTCAGTAAACCTTCCTGATACACTAATTTCAGTGCATCTTCATCATTGTCCTTCAGATATTCTTCCAAAGCCATTTTTTCTTCTTCAACCATCTGATGTACTTGCAGCATTCCACACCCACCTATTTGCCCTATGTTACTGCATGGATGAAGGGCATGATTCATTGTCATTATTTTTCTGGTCTTCCTATCCATTGCTTGAGTCCTGTCCACTATTCCAGCTGTGTACCTAATGACTGGAATTGCCCAGGTTTTGATTGCCTTCATGGTATTTCCTCCATTGAGTTTGGACTTTAAGATCTTCTTCACTCTGTTGATGTATGCTTGAAGGATACCCAAGTATTTGTAGTAATCTTCCTCATCCAGACTCTAAATGTTATTTTCGTGGGGCATCTTGATTCCTTCAGTTTTCACTATTTTTCCTTGTTTGATAGTTAAGTGTGGCACATTTGTCCAAGCCAAACTCCATTACAATATCTTGGCTATATATAAGGACAATGTTGAGCATTGATTCTATTTCAGATGATGTTTTTCCATACAGCTTCAGGTCATCCATGTAAAGGAGGTGGGATAGTCTGGCAGATGTTTTTGATGTTTGATAGCCATGTCCTGAGTTATTCAGTATTGTTGACAAGAGGAAACAGTGCAATAACAAATAGTAGTGGTGATAATGAATCTCCTGGAAATATTCCTCTTGATATTAACCTCTCCCAGTCTCTCACCATTGACCTGCAACCTGCAACATTGTGCCATCGATCTTTGCACAAATTTTCTGATGTTTCTACTGACTCCTGTTATTTCTAGGCACTTGATTAGCCAGTCATGTGGCAGAGTGTCAAATGCCATTATTATTATTATTACTATTATTATTATTACTAGTAGTAGTAGTAGTAGTAGTAGTAGTAATAGTATTAGTATTGGATCATCGCACAGTCAGCCAGATGTTCAGACTGGATTTGGCATTTTGTCTACCTATCAAGTCCTTACCCAGGACCTGGGATAGGCAGATGTGGATGTTTGATGGTATTACAGGTATCGTCGCAGGATGGAAGCAGTTCCTAGTAAGGCCGCCTTTTGCAATTGACTAATAGCAAATTTGTTAATGCCAATGGTGTTCAAGTGGTGCTCCAGTTGTTTTGGGATTGCATTCAAGGAGCCTATAACTATTGGTACTACCCTTGCTTGCTTTTGCCAGTCTATTTCTATTTGTAGGTCTTTGTATTTTGTTATCTTCTCCAGTTCTTTCTCATCTATTCTGCTGTCTCCAGGCACTGCCATGTCCACTATTATTATTATTATTATTATTATTATTATTATTTTATTATCTTTTTGAAAGTTGTTTTTATTTTCTCCTCTCTAAAATATATACCTATCTTTCCTTGTTGTGACATCTGAAGATTTGTTAAGTGTCTTTTGAACTAGATCACTGATACTGTAACAATAGTAAAGAGCACAGAGCCCAAAACAGAGCCCTGTTGTTTCCATTTCATATTCCCTCTAGGCTGAATTGGGTCCATTAATATTCACTCCTTGAATGTGGTCAGCCAGGTAACTGTGAATCCATCTAGCAGTGATATCATCTATCTTTATTTTAACATTGTTTTAAGGCAAATATGAGATATTCCTTTGAAGGCTTTCCTAAGGCCCAAATACACTTTCTATGGCACTTCAAAGACAGGTTCCACAAGCTCTACAACTATGTTCATGGTAGTGGCCTGAATATATAAATTGATTGGTCAGTCATCCAGATGTTTAGAATGAATTTTTGTCAACCTATTGAATTCTTCACAAGGAACTGGGATATGCAGATGTTACTGTTTTATGGAAGGAGTATTAAGTATGTCTGTCATCTCATTATTTATAAAAATAATAAAGGTGGGATTAAAAAAATTAATCTGGAGAGTTTACAGTAAGGATCTCCAACCCCTGGGCCACCAACCGGTACCAGTCCATGGCCTATTAGGAACCAAGCCACAGCTGGAGGTGAGCAGCAGGCAAGCAAAGCTTCATATGTATTTGCAGCCAGTAGTATCACTGCCTCAGCTCATCAGGCATTAGATTCTCATAGGAGTGCAAACTCTACAGCAGTATTTCTCAACCTTGACAATTTTAAGGCATGTGGACTTCAACTCCCAGAATTCCACAGCCAGCAATGCTGGCTGTGGAATTCTGGGAGTTGAAGTCCACATGCCTTAAAATTGTCAAGGTTGAGAAACACTGCTCTACAGTAAAATGTGCATGTGAGGGATCTAGGTTGCATGCTTCTCCTGCCCCCTTCCCTTCCCTGGTCAGTGGAAAAACTGCTTCTCCATGTGCACACAAACACACATCTTTCCTTTGCCTAAACAAATTGAATTCAGAATGGATCAGTGGAATCTGTCTTTTAAAAACCCCAAAAGCTGTTATGCCTGTATACCTAAGAAAACAAAGCAAACAAGGGTAAGCATGGAAAGCTGCAGTTTATTAGAAATGGGATGAGAACAGCTATTGAAGATGGGTTAATGACTTAAAATTCAAGTTTTTCAATTCTGAAAATTCTATAAAATTAAGTTTATTACCTTTAAATAGTAATTCAGAACTTAAGACAAGCCTGTTATAAATGAAAATAAAATTAAGAAGTCACTGAATTTTGAATTTTAAGTAGAGATTATATATACCACAAAATCCAGAGCTTGCAGTTTGGTAAATGTATGATTGTATAATTTACTATATGTTTTGCAGAAAATGTGCAGTATGTTTTCTAAAGAATTCTCTGAACATTTATTTTCTTCTAACACATATGTCATTTGGAACCAGAATTTTGGTTGAAGCAGGTCCACTGGGGAATAATAGGCCTGTAGGCAATTCCTACTACCACTTATATAAAGAAGCTAGTGAAAACTGAACATGCTTACAGCCATATCATACTATTAAAAGAAAAGAAAATCTGGAGAGCAAATTCAATAGCATGGAATCTTGCAGAAATATTTCTAATAGGATTGTGTATACAGCTACAAACTGAATGTGTATGTAGATCTATGGATCTTATTCACACATATATACAAAGCTCCATCTATTTCTTTGCAATAAAATAAGTATTTCTTTTGATAGTTTTGTATCTGAAAAATCCAAGCCCTAAATTTAGAGGAAGCATATAATAATAATAAACTTCCCTTAAAATCAAGTAACTGCAAAGAAATTTAAGAAGAAATTCTTCTAGTATCCTATCTATATTAAAACATCTGGCGATTCTAAAACTGGCACATAGCTGCAAATTAAACATTTAGATTCCCAAACTACATAAAATGAAAAATGATAGGAATTTCTCTAATGTAGCCTGTATAACAGCAACTTTTTTGCAGTGTAATTTCATATCACATAATACAAGTAATATACTGTAGGTCTGCTAGAAAGAAAGCTAAAAGTCAGGTGGAAAAAAATCCCCATGTCAAAATGAGGTAAATTTCAAGTATTCATATGGTTCTGACAGTTTCTCTCTTTCTAATCAATTATTCTACAACTATTTTTCCTACTAATGAAAATATGCTTAAATTATAGTTTAAATTGTGTATATGTATGTTTGGATTCACCTTTAAAGTTTGAAATGTTCAGATGAATATGCAGCTTACCAAAAATAAAGTATGATTTACAAAGCAGCTAAAGAACAGCAAAATATATACATTTTTATATTTATTCATACTGTAGCAAATGAAGATGAAGAAACTGCATAACCTTTTAACTATCAAAAGAAATTGTTTACAATCCATTCATAACATCAGTCATAACAAAATCAAATTATTATATATTCTTGCTTTCATTCTAAATATATGTAAAGTGCAGTGGAACATAGTTTTCATGGAAAGATTAAAGTATGTTATAGAAATAATGTAAGAAGATTTAAAAAAAAAAACAGACAGATACCACGCTGAACATCATGTCACTGATACAGTAAGGCTACCATTACATAATGAGTAAACAGTACATCAATTGCATTAAGCCTATTTAAAGGATGGAAAATTACTCTAAGAACAAACAGTGACAGCCACTGAAATACTATAGCAGGAAATCATTATGTTTCTAAGCGACATTTTTTGGACAATCCATTGATATTGCTTCCTTTCCTCTTCTGGGAAATACTGGAATCTTTTGGGAGATCAGCCTGGCTTTTGTATTTCTCTTCATTGGTGATTTCTAAAGGCTGAAAGAGTATCAAAGAAAAACAATGAGATGGGGAAAGACTTTCATTCTCTATTTCCAGTTGCTCAAAGAATGAATACCTTTATTCATATCTTGCAAAAACATAAGCTTCCCAGCTTAGAACTTCAGAATCAATTTTCTGCTCTTTAAATACACAGACTCTATATTCTTGCAACTCACTACAGATTTCTTTAGGCACCCTATTTTACAGTTTATCAGTTTCAGTAGCATAAACACCAGGAGAAACTTCATTGTTTCCTATCACATAACTTTATTTCTGTTCGGAATGAATAAATTATTTTCTAACACTCCTGCTATATGAAATCCATGTTTTACCTGTCATAACAGTTTTATACATTTTCTGTACATTGTTATTACAATGACTCCAATTCTCACAAAGGCCAGTCAATTAGCAAATTCTGGAAAGAAATATCACTTCAAAAGAAATACAAACAAAAATTTCCTTCTACAAATTACAAACCAAGTATTTTATTTATGTCAGTTTGAGATACAAAAAATAAAAATTATTTTAATCTCTGCATTTTTTTAGAAGAAAAAAGGCACAACTATGTTATTTAAGGACCAGGTGCCCCCTGGTGTTTCAATTGTGTAATTACAATACTTTTTTATCCCTAGCAATATTGTATAAGTTTGTATACAAATAAAACATATTATTATTTACTAAAAGCTACCTTATGCTCTTTGCAAAATGGTCATTCTCTTAAATTAAAAGGCCACATTGGCTACCATATCAGAATATGCATATACATATTTAGATATTCAAACATACGTGTGTACCAGTGTATTATTTCTACACTGTTGTCTTATTCTCAGGTTCATGTACTTTAATTCACTTCTTTCTCAAACAAACACAGACACACACTTTCGATGTTTCTCCCACTATGACTGCTGGAAGAAGACTAGGAAGCCTAGTCTATCAACTCTCCAGCTCTCTCTCTCTTGAATTCTTCCTTTGTTGGGGAAAGCAAAAAATGTCAAAATGTAGCAGGTTGCTGCTATTTGCCTAGAAGAAAAATGAAACTACTAAAACTGGTTCCTTTTGCTCATTAACTTGGAAGCTAGATCTGCAGAACCAACACGTAGCTGAGGGGCTGCATATCCTTGTTCATTGGAACAGAAAACATTTTTGCTACAGCTGTTCTCAGTTTGTGTCCATTATCTGTACTATACAGTTAAAAGTTTTAGTAACAACAATAGTAATTCAGCTCCAGTCTTCTCTAAACTATGATTCAAAAGTTTCCTGCTATCCAAATCCTACTATGCTGCCTCAACATAATGGAGGAAAATTCCTGGGAAAGTTAAGTGAAAAATATCAGAATTGTATGCCAAGACATGACGGACATTCCAGCTGCAAAAAACAGACACCTACATCAGGAAGCTGCTGGAATGGGGTGATTACAACGGCAGAGAAGGCAAAGTTCTGTTATTCATCCATCCATCCAATTAAAATTAAATTAAAAAGATTAAAAGTTAAACCAAGATGATGGCAGCCTCAGGATGAGAATCTTCTCCACCCTGTCAGTCACCTCCAGTGTAGTAGGCCTCTGTTGGGGCCCCAGGCCAAGCAGCACAGAAAGATTTTTAGGGTCTTCTGGAAGGCCAGGAGTGAAGAGGCAGATCTCACCTCTAAAGGGAAAATATTCAAGAGGCTCTTCTCCTGGACCCTGCCATCTGAAATTCTTTGGCAGAGGCAATCCAAAATCAGCCCTTTCCGCTAAAATGAGTGGGACGTGTTAATGCCATCAGTTCCTCAGATATCCTGGACCCATGCCAAAAAGGGCTTTAAAGATGATGACTAACACCTTGAATTGGACCTGGAAGCAAACTGGCAACCAAGACGCTCAGGTAAAACATGTGCCACCCAAGAGAGTCTCCAGAACTGGCCATACTGCTGAGATCTGTACCAGTTTAGCTTCCAAATACTCTTCAAGAGTAATCCCATGTAGAACACATTGCAGTAATCCAATTGGGAGATGACCAGGGCATTAATGACTGTGTACAGGGCCTCATGATCCAAGAAAGGATACAAATGGTACACAACAGGAAGTTGCATAAATGCTCTCATAACCACAACTACCATCTGTTCTTTCAGTAGAAGTCATGAGTCTAGGAGAACCCTCAGATTGCGCAATCAGTCTGTCTGGGATAGTGCAACCACATCCAGAATTAAGGATGATAAACTCCCAGCTACCATAGCTATGGCTATGAACCCATAGCCATTGTGTCTTATCAGGGTTCAGCTGAAACTTGTTGTCCCTCATCCAAGCTATCCCCCTAGTTTCCAGGCACCATAAGAAAACAGTTACAGCATCATCTGGATCACCAGGAATAAAGATATACAGTTGGGTATCATCAGCATATTGATGGTACTGTATCCCATGGTGTTGAACGATCTCACCCAGTGGTTAAATGTATATTTAAAAAGGAGCAGAGAGAGCACCAAGCCCAGCAATATGCCATAAAGAAGCGGCCATAAACTGGACCTCTCTCTCCCTATCAACAGACTGGGGCCGGTCTTGAATAAAGTAGCTGAACCAGTGCAAATCTCAACTCCCACAGCCAGCCCAAAATGATAACATGGTTGTTCGTACTGAAAACCACTATCACAGGTGCACTACCCTCATCCTGCTCCTTCCAGAGATCATCTACAAGTGCAACCAATACCATCTCTGTCCCATAACCAGGCCTGAACTTGACTGAAAGGAGTCCAGATAATCTGTTTCATCTAGGACCCTCTGAAGCTGCAGTGCAGCCACTTTTTCCATCATATTCCCTAAAAAAGGGGGAGGTAGCAAACTGGAAATTGTTCAGGCAGGTGGGATCTAGTAAAGGTTTCTTAAGGAGTGGACTAAATAAGGCTTCCTTAAATGGTCCCAGAAATATCCCCATCCTGCAGCAATGTATTAATTACTGCCTGGATCCACCTGCATGTCACCGTCCTGGACTAATTTACTAATCAGGAATTGCAAGGATCTAATAAACAAGCAGTTAGTTGTCCTAACAGCCCCAAGGACCTTGTCCACTTCCTCAGATCCAACTGGATCAAACTGCTCTCAGATAATTGGTTTACTCCCTAAATAAAGAATTTCAGAGAATTGTTATGAGACAAGAAGCAGCTTTAAAGTTGTTGTTAATTGCGAAGTCGTGTCCGACCCATCGCGACCCCATGGACAACGTTTCTCCAGGTCTTCCTGTCCTCTACCATCTTCTGGAGTCCATTTAAATTCACACCTACTGATTCAGTGACTCCATCCAGCCATCTCATTCTCTGTCGTCCCATTCTTCTATTGCCCTCAATCTTTCCCAGCATTAGGCTTACTTTAGCTTTAAAGTAAGTGACATTTATAAACTGTATTTTTGAAGAGTTGCTGAACCAATGGTCATAAGTTAAGGATTGCCTATATTTTCCTCATATATTAAGCATGTATGTTACCGAGTTGCATACCTAATAGAATTCCAAATAAAATATGGTTGTAATAGGATACATTCCAAACCCTTTTAACCCAAGGCATGTTTTACAAGATGAGGCACTAATACAATAAGCTGTCAGTTGAAAAAACTCTGTATTTTTCCTTGACATTTTGAGTTATGCTAACCTGGCCAGGAACCCATTATCTTCTTATACTGCCATCCCAGAAAGTACTTTTTCCTGGCAAAGATATAATCCAGGGACTTGTACACCATGGCACATTCATGACACTACACAAACTCAATTACAGCAAGATAGGCAATTATGCAATGGAGATTTCACTCACAGCAAGACTGCACATGTGAAAATTAACCAACACCCCATTCTTTTATAACAGAAGTAATGTATTTCTTACCATTGTTGTCTGGCTTGCATATTTTTCTGTCCATTGTCTGGCATTTTTTAGAAATGCTTGCTTGTTGTATTTATACTCTGAAGACTAGACATAATAAAAAAGGCCGTGAGAAGGATAATTATGGCCTCTCATCATCACATATAGTTATGTTTAATGGCAGATTCATCTGACAGCATGGAAGACTTCACCTTTCAGGAACATAGAGGCTAAACTTTAAAAGAGGCCCTAATGGCTCATATATTGCATATAACATATGTGAATTTTGTAGCACGAACACTGGAAAATTCTATTAGCATGTTTTAACATGCCATAAATTATATTCATTGGTTTTTCTATCTGAAGAATATTGTGCAAATAAATATGAAAAAAATTGCAAAGTATCTCCTTGTAAACCAGACAATTTAAATTTCCTAAAGTCCAATATATTACAATCAAATAAAAGAATGAAGCCTACTATATCAGCCATGAGAGGGTCATCAGGATTAGGTTCATTCATGAGGATCTGGATGGAAGTTAGCAAAGTAGCAATGTTCAAGGACGGCCTCCAAGCACCCTTACATGCAAGAATAGAAGAAAAAATATATTGAAGAAAGTAAGTTACTTTCCAAGATTTTTCAGATATTATTGCAGACTGAGTGTTCTAATTGCCTCCCAAGTTATAGAAGTGTAGTCCGCAGTAAAAAGGTTGCAGAGTAATTTCACCTCTTAATAGACATGCACTTCTTTACCTTCTAACCATTTAGGCATATACTTTTTCCAAGGCAACCCTAAGGTACTCAGTTAAGTTGATGTACACTCTAGTTTCGCCCCCCCCCCCCAAATCAAGGTCTCCTAGAAATCACTGAATATGCTTAATATACATTGAGCTTAATATACTACTGGTGGATGGAAATAAGCAAGTTCTGCTCACCTCAATGTACTTTTTAAAAAAACATAAAATTTTAAGTTTCTAGTTTTTAGGTTTATGGTCTGGCTGTAATTCATAGCTTTATGGATGCTATATCCATGAATAATAGCAAATCATGGTGAAATAAATAAATTGCAAAAATATCCCTACACAAATAAAATAGCATTTTAAAAGGCTCATAAGTTTTACAACAAAATTATTTCAGCAGGGCAAACCCAGCAATATGTAGCAATATGCATGCCATGGACTGCATCCTGCACAGATAAAGCCATTTATATCAGTAACCACAGCAGCTGTTATAGATCTCCATGAGCGTAATTTTATCTAAAATGATATAGCATCAGCCCTCCCAGTTAGACTAGGCTAGGAAACCAGAGAAATACAAGCTAATGCTAGTTTTATTATGTTATAATAGCAGAATCTCAAAAGTTTGAATGTGATTTCCTTCCCTTTATCTTCATGAGAACTAAGCCACCTAGTCATTGGAAATGAGATAGGCAGCAAATAAATTTTATAAATAAAATAAAATAAAAACTAGGGAGAATCATGACTAAGACGCTTTCTCAAATCACATTTCTGCCCCGACCAGATTTTATCTGACCATTGTCTTGGTTGAGGCTCTTCCTCCTGTTCAAGGTTATTTCTTCTGCCCATCACAAAAAATGGAACTACAGATAAAATTCAAGTCCTGTTGTCACAAGTTGAGAGGAAAGAGTGCAATCTCTGCTATTCATTATTCCAGAGTGTTATAAATTTCCTCCCAGTAAAACCAGCAAAATAATTGATCCAAGCTTTGATTATCAGTTTCAGAGAATGTTTGACTTCTCTGGACTTTGAGAGATAATAATATGGACGTGTCCCTCAATTATGGACTTGTCTTTCCATCCTTGGAGAATTAGATTTTTAAACTAATGTTTCTGGGCCATTCTTTTAAGAATAATAGGGCTGCAACTTATAATAGAAGGGATGCAATGCATTACCTTGGGTGGTAATCTAAGAACATCCAGGCAAATTCTTCCAGCTGAGTCAATGTTGGGATGGTATATGGGAGTAACAAAGCGCATTTTTGGAGGTTCAAATGGATACCTATTTCAGAAATAGTTCTCATTATTAGAAAAGGAAGACTTTTTAACTGGTTACAATCGGTTCTTTATTCCCAAGTCATTTTTCAACTTATAAATCCCAATAACTTGTTACTGAATTTATTACACAGCAGTTCATTAACAACTTTCTGGTTCCTATTTCAATCTTTTGAGGATTCATAGTTAATATGCCCATTTTATATGGACATTTGTTTTAAATTTCAAAAACACAGATTCACCATTTACCTTTCAGGAACAATGACTTCCAAGGCAAAAACTCCTTTTTCATATGGGGTATTTGCACATCCTAGTATTTCTAAAAGAAAAGATATAAATTGTGTCAACACTGAGCTCTTTAAGTAACTTGCACTTACTGTAAAAGCAGTTAGATCTAAGATGTGACAATAGTATAGTAATCTCTTTAATATCTGCTCTATTCAAGAAATTCAGCAGACTAGGAACAAAAAAGAGCACCAAAGAGTCTGATAATTACCGATTATTCAAAGTTGGAAACTAAATTAGGATATATTCAATAGTGGATTTCCACAATTACAAGTACAAGGTTTCTGGCAAAAAAAAAAAACCTACCGAAATTACAACTACTTGAAAAGTGAGCAACTTTTCTATTTCCTATTATAAAGCGATCAATTCTTTTCTATATTTTGCATTTTATATATACACACAGAAAAACACAGACACACATCTTTCTTCTACATTAGCAAGGCAGGTTTCTTTATTCTGATGATAAATGTGAGGGGAAAGGGGAGCCAGAATAGGATAAAATCATATGGGCTCAAATTTCTTAAGTATTAATAGATCCAGGATAAACAGATTCAAAAGAACAAATGTTTTTATCTCTAAAGGATTGAAACCTATGGAAAATGAAATCTCAGAAAACAGTCATGTGTGACTGTTTTAATTTAGTTACTTTCTGAAATTATAAATAAATTCTGACAGCTGTGGCTTTTCAGTTTTAAGATTGGGATTATTCTTAAATACATTAAGTTGTTTATAAACTGTTTGTAAATATACTGTTGTTTATAGTATATTATTAGCTATTGCTAAATAGAGAAATCTGAGAATATAAAGTTTAAAGATATGTAAGTATAAGCTTTAAGACTGTGTTGTGCCTTAGATTCAGCTGCAAAAAGATGCTTCACAGTACATAGTGGCACATACAACAACAAATGCAACGGCTTTAAAAAGCAATCAGGCTCTGTATTTTTGCCGTATGTTCTATAGCACCCTTTTATAGTCAAAAACCTAACAAGCTTTCCAGTAAAGCAGGGACTGAAAGTTATTCAAGGGAAGAGAAGATTAAATTATGCAAAAAAGAAAACACATAATTACATAATTCAAGATCATATAATTAATTTGTGGAATTCATTTAGCCACATTTATAAATTCCCTCAATGACTGATACCAAGTCAATGTCAATTGATAATCATCATTCAAAACAAACTCAATCATCAGAACACAGAATGTCAGCTTTTTTACCCTCATCTAATAGAATTCTGTGATGTGCTCACTTTTAAATTACAAATATGTATTATTCTACCAAAGTACAAATTATTTCATTTCAAGCAAAAAATTGTTTTGCCCAATAATTATTCCCACTTGGTTCTGGAGATTGCTAGATGCTTACATTTCCACCCTATGATGGTGAAATATATTCATTGGAATCTACTCTCAAAGAAATTTAGGTTTAATTTGAAATAAATAAGCCTTCCATGTATGGATACAGAAAACCAGAGATTTGTTCTCAATATTTAATGTAATAACACAAAGTACAGAGATTGTATGTCTTAACAATTATAATGTTTGACATAGGATATATGAGGCTTTATTTCCTTACAAAGTAATTTGCTATAATTTGTACATTTGTTCAAGGGATATCCACCGAGAATTTCAATTACCTCAGGTGGTACCAAAGGGGGAGCAAGCATATATAAGTGACAGGATAAGGGATTGTAAAATATGCTTCTCAAGTTCACAGATGACCAAAAGATAGAGAGATAGCAAACATTTTACAGAACAGGATTACAGTTCAAAAAGATTTTGACAGCTGAAACAGATAAAAACTATCAAAATGAATTTCAGTAGGAATAATGCAAACTTCTACATTTAGATTTAAAAAAATCAAAGGTGTAGATTATACTGGGCAGCATTACATGAAAAAAAGAATTTGAATGTCTTGTAATGGATTTTGCACTGGACAGGGTGTTTGATCAGATTATCTCCAAGGTCCTTTTGCATTCTATGCTGTATGAGTCTAAAAAGCACAAAGGGAAATGTATATTCACACAGTGAAGCTAGAACTGTAAAAAATAAGGCTTGTAAGGAATATACATTAAAAAGATGATCCCAACTGCAACCTAAAAGATAAGATGATAAGATAAGATAACCTTTATTGTCATTTTTATACTGTGGGCACAATGGCACACATCAAAAATGAAATTTAGTTGCCCGCTCTCAAAGTGAATAATAATAATAATAAGTGAATTTTCAAAGTGAAAAATAAATAGAATCTAATATTTTGTGTGTGTGTGTGTGTGTGTGTGTGTGTATATATATATATATATATATATATATATATATAGGTCTTTGGTTGTTCGGGTTTTCTCCCGCGTAAAATTGGAAGTGTCTTGGCAACGTTTCGACGAAGTCACATTCGTCATCTTCAGGCTGGTGTTTTTAGCTTCTTGCTTTGAGCAGCAATGTGTGGTTTTAGCTGTTTCTTCCTTTTAACTGCCAGTGAGGGTATGAACTGATTGGATGGGAGCTTGGCTGTGTTCTGATTGGGTGGAGGTGTGTTCTGAATGGTTAGGGGCTTGGCTGTGCTCTGATTGCTGGGGGAGTGTTCTGTTTGGTTGTGCTCAGGTTAGTCTGAGTTGCAGAGGGGTTTAAGATTTTGGGGTTAGGGAGTCGTTTGTCAATAAGGGCAGGTTTCCAAATGGCTGGTAGGCGGGAGGTATCATCTCGCTTGTTCATGCTGTGTGGGCGTTTTTCTATCTCGATGGCTTCTCTGATTATTCTGTTATTAAAATGTTCACTTTTGGCAATGGTTCTGGTATTTTTAAAGTCAATTTCATGTCCTGTGGCTTTAAGGTGTTGGACCAGGGAAGATGTTGGTTCCTCTTTTTTGACTGAGTTCTTATGTTCTTCAATGCGTGCACTTATTCTTCTGTTGGTTTGTCCGATGTATGTGGTGGGACAAGTGGTGCATGGGATTTCGTATACTCCTTGATTTTCTAATTCAATTTTATCTTTGGGGTTTCTAAGGATGGTGGATATTTTTCTGTTTGTGCAGAATGCTGTTTTGATGTTGTGTTTATGGAGGATCTTACTGATTCTGTCTGTGGTGCCTTTTATGTATGGGAGGAGGGCTTTGCCGTTTTCTTGTTCTTTGTCTTGGATTTTAGTGGGGGTTTCTTTTTGGATTAGGTTTGTAATCTTATTTCTATGGAATCCATTGGATGTTAGTACATTGGTGAGAGTGTGTAGTTCGGGTTTTAGGTGTTGTTCGTCAGCTAAGCGTTTTGTTCTGGAGATGAGTGTCTTGGCTACAGAGTTGATCTGTGCTGGGTGGTGGTGTGAGAGAGCGTGCAGATAGCGGTTTGTGTGTGTTTTCTTCTGGTAGATGGTGTGTCCTAGGGAGCCATTGGATTTCTTGTAGACTAAGACATCCAGGAAGGGAAGTTGGTTGTTAGCTTCTGTTTCCATGGTGAACTGTATTTTGGGGTGTAGGCTGTTGAGGTGTGTGAGGAAGTTGTCCAGTTTTTCTTTCCCATGTGGCCAGATTATGAAGGTGTCGTCTACGTATCTGAGCCAGAGTTTGGGTTTGTGATCCGATTTTTCTAGAGCTTGGGTTTCAAAGTGTTCCATGTAGAGGTTGGCAATGACAGGTGAGAGGGGTGATCCCATGGGTGCTCCTTCTGTTTGTTTGTATTTTTGTCCATTATAGATGAAGTATGTGTTGGATAGGCAGTGGTTGGTCAGATCTAAGATGTGTTTGGGGGGGTTATATTTGTTTTGAATAGCTGTCAAGGCTTCTTTGATAGGCACTTGGGTGAAGAGGGATATGACATCGAAGCTCACTAGTAGGTCGCTGGGCTGTAAGCTTTGTTTCTTTATGATCTCTATAAACTGGAATGAGTTTTTTACGTGTGAGGTGATGGATTCTGCATAGGGCTGTAGTTGTTTGGCGAGAAATTTGGCTAGGTTTTGTAGAGGTGAGCCTATGGAGCTGACTATAGGTCTGAGTGGGGTTCCTTCTTTGTGTATCTTGGGGAGACCATAGAGTTTAGGGCATCTGGATGATTTCTCTCTGGGAATGATTCTTTGCTGGATCTCTTCGCTAATGGGGGAGGCTTTTATCTTGGTTCTGGTGGTTTTTTCCAGGTAGGTGGTGGGATCTGTATTTAGGGGTTTGTATGTGGAGTCTTGGAGTAGGTTGGTTAATTTGGTTTGGTAGTCAGATGTGTTCATAACCACCGTGGCGTTGCCCTTGTCTGCTGGTAGGATTATTATGCTGGTGTCTTCTTTCAGGTTACGTAGTGCTGTCTGTTCCTCTTTGGGTAAGTTGCTTTTGGGTGGCTTGCTGGTGCAGAGGATGTTGGTGATTTTGAGTCTGATTTTGTTAGCGTCATCGGGGTTGATTTTGGTCAGGCTGGTTTCAACTCCACATATAATGGTTTCAGTGGGGATGTGTTTGGGAGCGACTGCAAAGTTGAATCCTTTGGAAAGGACATTGGTTTCGGCTTTGGTGAGGATCCTATCTGAGATGTTATGCACTGTTTGTTTCATGTGTGGCTGTGAGGGAGGAGGGGTTTGTTTCTGGCGTTCTTGTAGTCTTCGGAGTTTGTTGGTGTGTGTATCTGTCTTGAGGGTGGTCTGTGTTTCGGCTCTCCAGACGGCGAGTTGTTTGGATTTGTCCCAAAGTGCGGGGTGGATCTTGTTGCTGAGTTTGAGGTGGAGTGTGAGGAGATCTTTGTTAATTCGGTCTAGGAGGAATCTTTTTGTGTGAAGTTCATTTCTGATTAGGGCCAATTCTGTTCTTTTCAGGATCCGTTTGGTGGCTGCAGAGTTGGAGTGGAATTTCAGTTGGAAACATGTGGGGATTAGATTTTGATCTCGGCAGTTACGTAGGAATGCGAGGTCACATAAAATGGAAGCTCTTTGGACTTCAAGTTTTTCATAGGTCCTGGTCAGATGAGGGGGATCACCCCTCTCACCTGTCATTGCCAACCTCTACATGGAACACTTTGAAACCCAAGCTCTAGAAAAATCGGATCACAAACCCAAACTCTGGCTCAGATACGTAGACGACACCTTCATAATCTGGCCACATGGGAAAGAAAAACTGGACAACTTCCTCACACACCTCAACAGCCTACACCCCAAAATACAGTTCACCATGGAAACAGAAGCTAACAACCAACTTCCCTTCCTGGATGTCTTAGTCTACAAGAAATCCAATGGCTCCCTAGGACACACCATCTACCAGAAGAAAACACACACAAACCGCTATCTGCACGCTCTCTCACACCACCACCCAGCACAGATCAACTCTGTAGCCAAGACACTCATCTCCAGAACAAAACGCTTAGCTGACGAACAACACCTAAAACCCGAACTACACACTCTCACCAATGTACTAACATCCAATGGATTCCATAGAAATAAGATTACAAACCTAATCCAAAAAGAAACCCCCACTAAAATCCAAGACAAAGAACAAGAAAACGGCAAAGCCCTCCTCCCATACATAAAAGGCACCACAGACAGAATCAGTAAGATCCTCCATAAACACAACATCAAAACAGCATTCTGCACAAACAGAAAAATATCCACCATCCTTAGAAACCCCAAAGATAAAATTGAATTAGAAAATCAAGGAGTATACGAAATCCCATGCACCACTTGTCCCACCACATACATCGGACAAACCAACAGAAGAATAAGTGCACGCATTGAAGAACATAAGAACTCAGTCAAAAAAGAGGAACCAACATCTTCCCTGGTCCAACACCTTAAAGCCACAGGACATGAAATTGACTTTAAAAATACCAGAACCATTGCCAAAAGTGAACATTTTAATAACAGAATAATCAGAGAAGCCATCGAGATAGAAAAACGCCCACACAGCATGAACAAGCGAGATGATACCTCCCGCCTACCAGCCATTTGGAAACCTGCCCTTATTGACAAACGACTCCCTAACCCCAAAATCTTAAACCCCTCTGCAACTCAGACTAACCTGAGCACAACCAAACAGAACACTCCCCCAGCCAATCAGAGCACAGCCAAGCCCCTAACCATTCAGAACACACCTCCACCCAATCAGAACACAGCCAAGCTCCCATCCAATCAGTTCATACCCTCACTGGCAGTTAAAAGGAAGAAACAGCTAAAACCACACATTGCTGCTCAAAGCAAGAAGCTAAAAACACCAGCCTGAAGATGACGAATGTGACTTCGTCGAAACGTTGCCAAGACACTTCCAATTTTACGCGGGAGAAAACCCGAACAACCAAAGACCTATATACAAATACCCGCGAAAACCTCAGAAAACAAATATATATATATATATATATATATATATATATATATATATATATATATATATATATATATATATATATTTGCAGTATATACGTACGGGCTCGAAGATCATTTATGTGATTCCCATTCTGCCAGCAGGTAATACCTGGTGGTGGCTCTGTGGTCAGTAACTGCAGCTCTCTCTTCAGCCGTGAAGCCCTTTGCATTGCACTGCAATGACATAAGAAAAAACTCTACATCATTTAGTTCCTTTCTTTTCAGTTCCCATAAATCCTCCTCAAATCATAAATTTTAGTATAAGGTATAAACTTTCATGACCAGATGTTCATTTAATCAGATGTTGCATCTCACAAAAGCTTACACCTTATAATGAAATGTATTAGTCTTGAAGAATATTACTAGGCTCTTTCTGATTTTTAGCTACTATAGACTAACCTAACTCCCCAACTACAATTGCACAAATCTTGCAATAATCCCTAATAATATCATAGGATACATAATTTTAAGCATGACAGAGGGTGTACAGAACAATTAAAATATTTTTATCTAAAAATACTAATCCAGACTTCATAATAATTATATTCATGGATAAATTATCAAAAGAATTTCTATTGATCAGCAGCAACCATACTAAGTTAACCCTTTTAACTGGCCTCGGACAGGACACAGAAAAGTGGATGTTTCATATGTGAAACTGTGGCACCTTTCCTCCTGCCCAAAGTTTCTGTAATCCTATTCTTATCAATAGCATATTAGGGAAGGCCTTTGATTGCTCAAGTATTCAAGGTCGGGGCTGGTACGCTCCCTTTTCCTATTCCCTCCCCAGTGTGTCCGCCCAAGGAAATTGAAGACCAGGGGAGCTTAACCGTCGCCCCAAGGAGTGGCCCGGGCTTAGTGAGCGAGGGGGAAAAGCAAGATTACCATCCTTTCCCCCCACATATTCCGCCAAGCGAAGCCATTCCGTCAAGCGAAGGGGGAACAGCAATTTGATAATAATGACGTCAAAATTTTAACATACACACCCTAAAACTATGGTTGTTTTCCTTCCAATCTCCCTCCGCCACGAACCTTCTCAGGACCGCGTACTCGAGACTCTGCTCGGAGCACCGGGACTACGATCCTGGAGAGCAAAGCTGCCTCCTACGTAGGGAAAGAGTCGGCCTCGTTCGTTCTTGGTGCCTGGGAGACGCAGGAGTTCAAGAACCGGAGACAGGAGACCGTCTGAATACCCTCTAGTAGGCCAGAAAAGGCCCCGCTGAGCTCGGAAGCCAAAGTGAGGGGAAACTTCGGAAAAGCGCGCCACAAAGTCTCAACCAGCAAGAATGAAGATATCTAACGGCCTGCAATATGACCGGGTGAAAAAAGTGCTCTTCAAGATCGAACGTTCTGCCGATTGGCTACTACAGGAATGGTTCACGCCTCAGGAATTTAAATCGGCGGAGCAGCTCTAGGAGGACCTCTAAGAGGAGTTTGTCACTTGGTCAAGGTTTCCGGGCCGGGGCTATAGCGAGGGCATAATGAATAAATTCATATATCCTTGCCTAATGCTGTACAACTATCCTCACGCAACCATCACTCTGCGAATTTAAATATCTGTCTTAGTTGCTGTTATATTCGCACAACGATGGTTGAATGGCAAACTGACAGTCGGCGCTCTACTTATAAATCACTAGGAAGAAACGGTCTTATAGGCTTATGGAGCCACAAGACTCTTGGGTTACTTTTTCGTTGAGTTATAACTGATCAGTATGCTTGTTTTTATCACTTTTTAGCTAGCTATAATATTGTTACACAGTTTTGTTTTTTGTTTTCGTTTCGCTTTGAAATCTCATCAACTTTAACAAATTGGCAGGGAGGCTTGCTACCTTCAAGCCACTATTGATTCCTGGCAACTACATGGAGAAGACTACAGTTTTCTTGGCAAGATTTCAGAACTGATTTGCCATTGCCTGCTTCCTAGGATTGGGGCAGAGCGACTGGCCCAAAGTTACCCGATTTGCTTTGTGCCTAAAGCATGTTTCTAGCCTGATGTCTTAACTATTACATCAAACTAGCTGTCAGTATTTTTAGGTGTATTTTAATTTTGTTAATGTTTAAAAATATATTGTCTTCTTAGTCCAAACTGTTTTTAGTTTTCACCATAAAGGTGAAGCAACAGCTACTGGCAACTTTTAATTCAAGAATTTATCTTATAATACTAATTCAAGTCATTTAGTAGGGATCATGAGCCCAACCAAATAAGATGTATTCTCCAAACTAGACTTTTTGGACCTTGTGGAAGCACTGCCAGATATTGTATGGCTATGTGCACACCCACACCTGTTATTATATTCTATTTCTGCAATGAGGGACTGCATAAGTAAGTAGGATTTAGTTGTTGGTTAGATTCACATCCTGTCTTTTCTGCAAGAGCTCAAGTTTACTTATACAAGTTTATTTGTACAGTACAGGTAGGTAATGTAATGTAATGAATGAAGTATGAATTGTATGATATTCAGTTTAATGTAAATTATAAATTGTATCAGGTGGTGTTTAATGCAAGCCAAAATTCAGTTAATGTGAGGCTAGTGCATACATGCAGTTGAGTCTAGTGCATGTGCCGTTGCCATTGAGGTTTTAAATGCCATTTGTGTGTGTAAAATGGAGAAAAGGAAGTCTGTTCAAAGAAAGCTCGAAGTTTCATTTTATAATTTAATTGTCACTATTAGGCAGAATTTTAGTGATTAAGATGAACATTTTATCAAGGATGTTATTTTCATTTCATCATCAATACTGGTGACTAAACAATGGCAAAAACATACCTCTTAAGATTATATGGTAAATAAAAAAAACAAGTCATGAATGAGGGTTTAGAATAGACAGTAAGACAAAAACCTAAAATTTCTCTGGTTTTCACCCTACGAAACATTTTTAGGAGAGAAATTATAGCTACACAAACTTGGTTAACCTATACTGACTTACTGACTTTTTTCTAAAGGAGTCCCTAAACTAAAAATCAGAGAACAATTTGAGAAGAATGGTTATGTTCGTCAATGGTTTGCTTATGCTCAGTTGATAGATTTAAACTGGATAAGAATTTTGCTTTTATAAGTATAAATATGTATTGATTGATAAAATATTTTGAAATACAATAAAGATTGTTTTTTGTCAGTGTATGCTTGCTTACCTTTAGTAATTATATTTGGAATGTTTTGTTTTCTACAGCTACTTAGTGACTTTATTAAAAAATATATACTGAAGTTCTAAGTATTTTAATCTTTTAATATTACATTTCATTAATAAACATGCATTTTTATGTTTAATTTTTTGTCTATTTCCATCAAGCTGCAGCCAATTGCCTTATTTTTCACAAAAATATCACTTCAAGTAATGTGACTATTTCCTGATATTCGTTATCAGCATTAAACGAAACCTACCTATATGTTGATATCCTTCCTTTTATCCTGACAGACTTGGGTGGCCCTTAGTAAGAGCCCATCCAAATAATTTTCTTGCTCTGGCATAAAAAGTCCCTGCTTCACTATTGGCCAAGGACAAGGCCTAATGACATTGCCTCTGTTTCATCAGTATGCCGCTAAAGTAGTCCAAAATGTTGGATACTCTAATGTAAAAGTGATGAGAAATGTTCCATGAGGACAACATAAAGTTGACGGAGAGGTGATTTGAGATGCTGTAGTTGAGATTGGCAATTTGCTTGGATTCAGTTGGTCTGTCAAAACTGTTGTAGGACTGCCACCTCCAGTTGCTGGGTTGAACATCTCTATTGCAGTGCTGCTTTGGCTGAAAGGGAGATCAGGACCCCATAGCGTCTGCATCCATATATTTGTGGTTTGTTTTTCTAATGGGCAGGCCAATCAATAAACCTAGAACATAGAATAATAGAGTTGGAAGGGACTTCAGAGGTCTCCTAATCCAACCCCTTGCTTGAGCAGGAGACCCTCTATCATCTCAGACAAATGATTGTCCAGTCTCTTTTTGAAAGCCTTCAGTAATGGAGCACCCACAACCTCTGAAAGTAAGTTATTCCATTGGTCAATTATTCTTACCATTAGGAAGTTTCTCCTTAAGTCTAGATTGCTTCTCTCCTTGGTTAGTTTCCAACTATTGTTTCTTGTCTTGCCTTTTGGTGCTTTGGAAAATAGTTTGACCCTCTTGTCTTTGTAGGAGCCCCTCAAATATTGGAACAGTGCTATCATGTCCTCCCAGTCCTTTTTTTCATTAGACTAAACCTACCCAATTCCTGTAACCATTCTTTATACATTTTAGCCTCCAGCCCCATAATCATTTTTGTTGCTCTTCTCTGCACTCTTTTTTTCTTTTTGTATTGTGACCAGAACTGGATGCAGTATTCCAAGTATGGTCTTAACTAAGGCTTTGTAAAGTGGTACTAGAACTTCATGTGATCTTGATTCTATCCCTCTATTAATGCAGCCTAGGATTGCATTGGTACTGATTTTTTTTTACTTCTTTAACTCCAATATAGTTACTATTATTTATCGATCTTTTAAAATAGAACATTAGAAATGAAAAAATAATGTTCCTGAAAAGTTCTTTATTTGCACTCCATTCTATATGTTTCAGGGGCATTTTTCACTCTTTAGGATAATTCTCACATAGTCAGACCATCACCCAATGCAAGATTTATCTATTACCAATACAAGAGACATTGAAACTGCACTTTTTACCTAAAAGACAAGGCTGCCTGCTAGGAGGAAAGTACAAAGATTTTAAGTATGTTTTTACCGTAAATAGGGCTTGGATTTCATGTATATCTGTTGTTGTAAATCTTTTGTGCTGGCTTCATAACTTTTCTGCAACAAACTAATTATATTAACTTGCTTTTTTTTACCCTGCCAACCAAAGAAAACCTCACACTTCTGTTTCCTGCAGTTTTCAGCTTCCTGTTATTTCTAGTGTTTCTCTAAATGCATTGTTTAAAACTTATCACTCTACTCCCTATTTCAGCCAATGTTGCTTACAATCTTATTTTTTGCACAAAGTGGAAGACAGCAAAGGAATATTTTCCCTTCATGATAAATATGGAGAAAAAAATATGTCAGACTTGTCATTTATGTGTCAAACTTGGAGACACATTTATCTTTGTAAGTTGGAAAAGTTTTCCTTTATGAACAGGATAAAAAAAAGAAATTAGATCATAACCTCAACTCCCAGTTCCATAATATGCCAGAATTAATGCTTTCACTCAATGGTGTTAACTAGGATTTTCCCCAATTTATATAATATAATTAACACTGACGAATTTATATCCTGGTTTTTATATAAAACACTGGATATCCACATATAGTAAAATTGAATGCTTTTCTTCTCTTGCAATGATCCCTTTAATAGTTACTAAACGTCTAATAATATAAGAGAGTTTACAAGCATTTATTTTTAAAAAAGAGTTTACAATGATTTTGATGTTTACTATGAAATGTTTTAAAAGAAACACAATTTGTTAACACATGATTTTGGGGTTGAATTTATCCAGAATATAAACTTAGGGAAGCTGCAATATGCAAAACTCAAATACAGAAATTTACAAGAAACCATATCAAGAGCTTTCTCAATTTCCAATGAAAACATGCATTCTACCTCTTTTGGTTTAAAATAATAACACCAATACTTGGCCACATAGAATTTTGGATAGTCCAAAGAACAGGTTGTGCTCTATGTACAAAGATAACTGTTAACATCTTAGCATCTATACTTACCAAAGAAATGAGCTTATAATTGAAACAAATAGTTAAGACATGCTTGAAAATTGAAAAACAGAGATACGTTGTGATACATTGGTTAAGATGTACTCAGACAATCCTCAGATATAAAAACTCACTGGGTGATTTGGGACCAATCACTTTCTTAGCCTAACTTATCTCACAGCATCTAGATGGGATCATATTTCTTCAGAAAGATTAGGTTCATTAATTAAGACTACACCTTGGTTCTCAAATGTTACTATAATTGCAGGTATACAAAGAATGTGTTTTCAGAATTAATAACTGACTTTTCCTGAACCAACTGGACATAATAGACTGCTTCATTACCTTTGCTACTGTAATATAGGGATTACGTGTGTATATGTGTATCAAGTGTATGTATGTGTATGTACATACAAACACACATACACATATATAGGATTTTATCCCTTGCAATCACCTAGTTAGTTCTTATTTTTTGTTATTTGTTGGTGTATGCTTTTCTGTATCTCATTAATATATATATATATATATATATATATATATATATATATATATAAAATTAATGAGATACAGAAAAGCATATATATGTTTTCTGAGGTTTTCGCAGGTGTTTGTATGTAGGTCTTTGGTTATTCGGGTTTTCTCCTGC